AGAAACAACAGGAGATCCAGACAGGGTAGACAACAACACACAGGGTAACATTCACAATAACCGACAAACTAGAATACAGGAGACAGGAACTAATATAGGGCAGATAAGGAGGGGCAGACAGGTGAGCACAATGAGGTGATTAACTACAAACGAGAACAGGAACAACCAAATAAGGACACAGAGGGAGAAACCACAATCCACAGTCCACAGGGGTGTGACAGTGCTACTACATTTGCCCTAAAAAATTAATTAATTTGAATAAATAAATAAAATTAATAAAGCCTATATTACAGTCAGTCTTTTCAGGTCTTTTCTGTGATATATTTTCCAGTTTTATTCCTTTCTTGTAAATTATCCAAAACATATATTGCTAGAAATAAAATAAAATAAAATAATAAAATAAAAAGTCAGTCATACCGAGTATTTTTGAGTGAAATATTCTTAAATAAATGAATAAATAAATAAATTAATTAATTAATAAATAAATTAACTAATTAATTACTCAATTAAAATAAAATAAAATATGTTTTATATTGGTTTCTTGTCTGTAAAGATAAAAACCCTGGTCTAGAGAAAAGATTATGCTGATGTACGCCTTAATGTGATCTGCACACGTCAGACGTGCATTATATAACTTGTGGGAATGTGTCTAGGCAGATGAAAAAAGTACGACGCAACATTTTCACGCTGCAGTGCGTTCTTCATATCCTGACCGCTACAAGGACATCCGAGTTCCTAACTTTGTCCCACGGTGTGATAAGCAGACAGCGGAGGCGTGGTCTCTGACGTCACTCGGGCTGAACCGTACTACAGCACTAGTCTGGCTGGATGTCTGACTCAGCCACGCAGGTTATTTGGGAAAATATTTTAAACGCATGTTTTAACTAAACAGACCATATTATGCTCCCTCGTTCCTCTTGCGTTGGACTACGTGCATCTTGTATTTTGGGCAGTTTGGGGAAGTGCGACAAGGAGGTAAGTTATATAGTAAGCAATATCACGCGAGTCGGGTTTCTGCACGCTGTACACAAGTTGGCACTGTCCCAGTCACGCGCTGTAAGTCAGACATGTAGGCTATATGTCATTTTTCATTGCATTGCTCAGCGACTGATTAACCACACAGATGATGTGATGCTATGCATGCAGTACAGTGCTTTTGCATATTAGCTACAATCCAATAATGCAGGGATTATTATTTTATTGAAATGCAAAGATTGTATTTTAAGTTGATTTGAGTTAGAATTTGTAAAACTAACTGTAAAATGAATGCTTTCAGTTTTTAAGGTCTTTATCAAGAAGATGAACAAGGCTCTTGCTCTGGCATTTGATAAGTAGACTGGCAATGCCCATGTTAATATCTTTCTGACCACACCTGCTAATGGACTGAGCGTTTACTTCAATAAATGTTTCATTTCTATATGTGGACTAGTGCCAGCACTGCAGAAAAGCCCATCGTCCCGATTCCAGGTCACTGTGTCCCCAAATTTGTGCTACCACTGTCCTGCACCCTCATCCGTCTGTTCATCCCTCGCTTCATGGGGCTGGCTTTGTATTTTCTGACCCTGTTTTTTTATCTTGCCACAGACTGCTAGAATTCGTTTCAAATAAATTTGTGCTTTTTATGTATGGACCAAATCTAAAACTGCGCAATAACGGCCTCTGCCCAACACATGGTACTGTTGGAGTTTTAACCCTTGCAAGAAACCCAGTTGAATGTCAGTGAGCTCTCAGGATATAACCCAAGGACGTTCCAAGTGAGTTAGCACTCAGGATTTAAACCAAGGACTTATATCCAGGTCAGTTTTAAACAAGCATCAAACACAGAAAAGCCACGGAGCTCATGTAAAGAACAAATCATGAGCTTTGACAGTTTCCAGTACCGTGCACTGTTCGAGTACAAGCAGGAGCCGGGTGACGATATCTCCCTGCAGCCTGGAGATCTCCTCATGGTCAGTAAGATGGCACTGCTGACATCCGATTACCAGGAGGGTGACGAGAAGTGCCCAAAGGGCTGGCTGCATGGCACCAATGAACGCACTAAGGAGAAGGGCAACTTCCCCGGCACCTTTGTGGAGTATGTTGGGGTCGTGAGGACAGGCCTTACTTCAGGGAAGCCTTGGCCGAGACCTGTACCGCCAACACCTGTAGGGCCCCAGCCCCCAGGAGCCTCTGCTTCAGAAGGTGAGTGTTACTATTAT